GATTGATAATTTTCTAATGCAATACAGGAACGCCGTCCATTCCGTTAATGGGAAGAGTCCCGCGCTTCTATTTAAATCTCGTTCGTTGGGTACAAGTCTTGACTGTGCCAAAACGGCTGATGTTACATTTTTCAAGGGTAATGATTTACGACCTGCTACAGGAATAGTACTTTCATCAAATGGCAAACGAATGGTCACATTTCTCGATTTAGATGATCTCTCTTGCCACCGAAGACACATTGACCAGGTTGAGTTCAATAATAGAGGTCAGTCTGTTAACGGCACTCCTGCTGTTTCAAATACTAATGAGTCCTCTGTAGGTGATCTTATGGCATCTGAACAAAACGTATCTGAAGAACACACAACCTGTGAAGAGTCTGAAGTTTCCATTCCGAGAAGATCCGAAAGATTGCGGTCAAGATTACTACTGGACTATAAACATCCACACGCTCATTCAAGGTGTGGCGGATATGATGAACATGACTGATACTCTATTCGTTGCTCTATTCATTATCCTCTTGCTTTAATATTCCATATGCTGTACATATTCGCCAATTCGAATACATACGTGCTCGTTTTTACGCTTCGCTGAATTCTGGATTTCTAGTTCCTCTGGTTATACCGATATACGTACGAAACTCAATTCTCACAGACCTCCAGCATGAAACGTGTAACGACTGCTCGGAATCTTTACCGTTCATCATCTTTAGTTATCTCCATTGGCTAACTCATTGCTTCGTCATATTATTATACCCCAGTATCCTTGTCGTCAGTATTTCAGGTCTCAGAATGACGTTGCTTTCGAACGTTACATTTGATTTGCATCGTGAGACTAGAGCATCCCATCCTATAGTGTCATCAAATACCACTATGATACTTGAAACTCCATAAAAATCGTGGTTATTTGGAATGTGTATTAGATCCTTTACAACGAGAGAATATCCTAGCCTTAAGGTTAGACATAAGCATTCATAAAGCATTCATAACTTCGGCCATGGCTCTGTAAGTTAGTGTGGGATTAAACCAAATTGCCGAAGGGATACGTTTGCAGCTACGATACCCTCACCTTTATTGGATGTACATGTAAGTATTCCTCAAAATCAGTCTTATCAGGATACCCCTCGTAAGCACGTAGTAATATCATGTTCGTAGCCAATATACACCTACAGGAAACTCACACCCGAATGCTAGTGTCGATTGTTCTGCTCTCACGGCGAAATTACATGCACATGAAAATTAAAAACTTGTGGGCATAGAAACTTAAACCAATGCAGCCGCCTGCAAACCTTAGGACCTCAGTCACTTCTAGAGAGGAAGAATTGAGAAAAAATCGGGAAAGCCCACGGAACTTTCTATGACTGCCTTGATTCCTTAGTACAGATTGTCAAATGGTGAACCAAAAACGGCCGGATTTCGTGTGGAAGATGGCAACAAGAAACAGAAACATCGAGCATATTTTCAGCAAGTGGCTGTCGTCCAATTCTTTTTCTTTGTATTTTTGGACCTCAACTTTAGCCTTTTCGAAGAAACTCAGTGCTAACTATGAGCCAGTAGAAAGTTTGGGAACCCAAAAACCATTTCCAAATATAGAAGGCGGCCAATGTGAGCATTTGCATAGCCCCTTCTGCTTCATACTCCCATTGCTCTTGCAGACTTATAAGATTTGAAAATGCGTTTCCACTGCGTTCTGTTAACTTTATCTATTTGAAATTTCACGATTATAGTCTTTTAGAATTTCCCTAAATCCTCTGAATATATGGAATCGCTCATTGGCAACTCGTTAATTAGATTAAGTGGCTTGGTTTCCGTATGTGACTTTCAATCCCAACTATTACGCATTTGTTTTGTCAGACTGCCTTGGATTGATCTGGTGTAACTCAAAAGTGAACCATTTGGTTGGATTAACCTAGTGATAAATGTAGAACAATTGGACAGTAGTCGCACTAGTCACATGGTTCAGCCTATCAGAACGCTTGCTTGGTGGCATGTGTTCAGCAACTTTAAGCGAATGACACCGTATGGAATTTCTCACGTAGTTTGCGTAACACTGGCAAACAAAGTAGTGGACTAGGGTTAATGAGTCAACAAATAACACATCAACCTCCATGATGGTATTAGGTAGTGGGCCGCTACTTGAATGTGCTCTCATTTGCGCAGTAGCTTTTCATAAAGAAAATCACTCACAAGATCGCTGAAAACTCTTCGATAGCCCACGACTGGTTTCATCCTACTTGGGGCTCATTAGGAAGGCACAGTCCCAGAGTTTGTAAAGTAATCAAGTGTTGTAAGATTCTTCTCAGCTGAGTGAATGCTGGGATTTGAATTGCTTTTCAATCGTCTTATATGCCTCAGCAAGAGGTTCTGCAGTATCAGGGCTTTTTCAGTAAGGCGCAAAGTTACATCTACTTTGCCGCCGAAAAAAATTTTGCAAGCCTTTTTAGGCAGACGATTAACAGTGTTTCGTTTACATTCCGTGTTGACCAGATTGTGGACGTATTTCTATCGACCAAACCAAAGGTGATTCCTCTATGCCTTCTTCTAAAAGTTGCTACATTGTTTTCATGTAAGTGCTACATTCTGAAAGTGAAAACTACCATAAGCTTTCTATTCCGAGTTAAATGGCGGTGCGCTATGCGCTGAATTAAAAGTCAGAGCACATCTTCGACTCTGCTGTTTGTGTAGTGCTTGAGCTACTGCATTGATAACATGCGAGCAAATTTTTAGCAACCATTTTATTTCATCTTTATTTGAGAATACTTTGGGGTGATGGAACGCAGAGGATATTTTACAAATAAATTCAGGAAAGTACTGATATCAATGCACAAGCATAAGTTAATCGCATGAACAAGGTTAACGTCCTGCGAATGATATTTTGGCGTACAAAAAAAAACTTTTTTGAGCTTAATTTTCACAACTCTCTGCCTTTGGGGTCTGCGGCTATTTTCTGTGTATCTGTTTGCTGCATTAAGCGAAATTGGCGCTAAGGATGATACTGATTTTTTGGAAATCGATTCAGTTTATAATTGTTTACATTGACGAAGTAGAACAAGTAGAACATAAGGCTGATGGATACTCGACGACTGCGCCTACCTGATGAGTCAAGAAAGACGAAACCAGTCGTGGGCTGTTGAAGAGTTTTCAGCAACCTTATGAGTAGCTTCCTTTATCAAAACAGTGGCGTTTTTGAAGGCTGGGATATATATATAGACGCTAATGCATAACATGGACTTTTCATCAGGTGGTGTTTGAATCAAGCGCTCAACCGCATGAAATCAGGTAATGGTGCACAATCACCAGAGTAGTTTAGATTTTAGGGTGCAATTTGATAAATAATCCTATTCCGATTAAAAGACCAAGGATGAACCTTTTTATGTCATTATCCATCAAAACCAGCCGGAGGACAACCGAAGCATCCCAATGCTTTCCTTGCATGAAGTACGGAAGGAATCATCACAACACATAATCGATTTTACTAAAATGTGTTTTGAGTTCCACAGCCACACCACTTTCCTGTTTCTTTTCACTTTGTCTTTACGCATTTGTGTTACTGCATCTTTGAAAGTGGTAATTGTTAAGCAAGAAATGTTTACAACTGACTCAACGCCGATGGCCACATTAAGTTAGCATCAAAAGAAAAAGTGATGTCTTAGGCATACTAATATTTTCCACGGTAAAATGCACTTAGTTTGAATCGTATACCGCGTAAATTCCAGCCATCACATTCCTCCGTGTGAAGATTGAATAGGAACAAATGTATCATCACTTATGGAAGTTGTTTTTTGTTTGCCGTTTGTCGTGCCAAATTAACGGGAAAACAGTAGCGGCACTCATATGCTCGAATCACACCGGAAACTGAATCGTCACTCCCAAAAGTGTTGCCTTTCAACAGCTCGTGAGATGATGAAATTTCGTTTCATTTTCACTGCCACCCATACAAAAGGGGCTTGGAGGCAAATGGTATACTGAGAGTAAAGAAGGAAATGCGTGGTCATGTAGCATGAGGGCGAGGTGGGATTATTATCGCAGCAAAATGGAATTATGATTCAGCTAATCAGTCGAAATCAGTGAAGCGTGACTGCATGTACGAGCAACAAGATGGCTTTTCGTTAATTCGCTCGACTGATAACTTTTATCAAACAGCTCTTCCTGTACTTTTATGTTAGTCATTTACCAAGTTCGTATGAGGTAGGTTGCGGCACCATTTATGTCACCATTACTAATATTACGGGGTTTTTGTTGGTGAAATTTCTCCTAATTTGATTCATCCAGGTGCTCACTTTGTGCCAAATCAAATAAACATTGTGACGCAGCTTGAGCTCCAAATGTTTTCGCTATTCATTCACACCTTTAGTGTAGTTGAGTCGACAGTGTAGCTATTTCTTGTAGTTGAAAACATGATAACCAGTGGTTGAAATGTGCCCCCCGAACCATTTTGTCTACATTTTCAGGCAAAGGTATGTTTTCGGTATATATATATATATATATCGCAGATTAGGATCGGTGGTACGGTCAACGATAAGTATCTTTATACGGGGTTCAACTTTGAGTTTCTCCATTTTCTGTTCGGAATCCGGCAAAATTCAAGCGCACAGCAGCAAACGTCACAACCCGTCTATCTGGATACGGTTTCAAACAATCTAGGCAATGAATTAGCTCGTGTTTTTATAGGATTTAGTAAAAATGTCACGTGGGAATGAGAACTCAGAAAAGGTTCATCTCTACATCAACTTGATCAGAACGTAAGACAATGACAAATTCTATCGCAAGGTACATCGAAAGACTAAAAAATTGAATACTTGCCACAGTACCAAACAAATAGTTCTTTTCTAACCTCTTATTCGTCATAAAAATATAGCAACGCAAAAATACCTGGAGAAAACTGATCTAGGTGAATGCAAACTTAGTAGAATTCGTTACAAAAAGCAACTCACGTCAAAGACCCTTATACGGCCATTTGGTTTTCAGCTAATCGGTATTGTCAAATCTTTTGCTGTTCTCAGGCAACATTGCAATCTTCCCGGTACGCTTTAACCAATGAGAATCTTGCAAAACCAATGCGCAATATTTATTGATTTGCGTCAGTGCACCAAAATATCTCCTTACTTGACTTAACCAGGCAAACTGAAAATGCACTACTGTGCCATGCTAACTTAAGTTTGCAAAAAAGACTGCATGTATCCTTCTCCCACGAGAGAATTTTGTTTTCGTTTATGCGGTTACTAGGTAACATTATTCGAAAGCGAATCAGGCCTACCAATCCGACAAACATGTGTGACCAGCCAACCAGTGTGCTTTCCTGGTTAGGCTGGTGCATATAATTGGCAAAATAACAGTCAGAATGAAATGTAACAATGGGCAGTGCTCTTTCGACGGCGAAACATGATCATGAAAAGATTCAACTGACCATACTTCACTTCAATGACGTATACAACGTGGAGGAGACGACGGAAAATCCATGTGGTGGCGCTGCACGATTTGCAGGCGCACTGGCTGAGTTGCGCAGTAAAAACCCTGATCGAACTCTGGTTCTGTTTTCCGGTGATTTGCTCAGCCCTTCCTCGCTTAGCATGACTACTGAAGGAGAGCATATGGTGGATCTATTCAACCTACTGGCGGTTGACTGCTGTGTGATTGGAAACCATGATTTTGATTTCGGTATTGACAATCTTCTGTCTTGCATTCAAAAGTCCAAATTTCCCTGGCTTAATGGAAACTGTTACGATGCTTCCTCAATGGAACTACTCTGTGGACTACCACCGTGTCATATAATTGAAAGAGGTGATGTCAGAATCGGGCTGATCGGGCTGGTCGAACCGGAGTGGGTTGATACGTTAGCAGTGGTAGACCAAGGTCAAGTTGTGGTCAAAGATTTCTGCATTGAAGGACGTCGGCTGGCTAACGAATTGAAAATCAGCCATGACTGTCACGTGATAATCGCTCTAACACACATGAGATGGCAAAATGATTTGCGATTGGCCAAAGAGGTCCCAGAAATAGATCTGGTGCTCGGTGGCCACGATCACAATGCAGGCATAGAAACGGTCAAGTGCAACGACGGAACAAATCGCAAAGTTATTAAAAGTGGCACAGACTTTCGACAATTAGGCTACATCAATCTCTTTGTAGACATACAAACGAAAAACCTTAGTAAGATTGATGTAGAAATAAAGGCAATCAACAAGTCATGGAAGCCAAATGAAGAAATCGTCACATTCGTAAATCAAGTTTGTACCGCAGACAAAGAACGTATGGATCGCGTTATTGGTAAGCTCGACGTGGACTTGGATGGACGATTTGCAATGATTCGGACACAAGAGACGAATATGGGCAACTTTCTGGCTGATGTCGCACTGACCTGTGTTGAGGCGGACTGTGCGGTTATCAACTCCGGAAGCATGCGCAACGATTCAGTGATTCCTGCCGGCGATTTCACGCTGCGACAACTCAGCCTCATTTTGCCCATGCTTGATTCCGTTATTGTTCTTGATGTGACCGGAAACGATATCATGAAAGTTTTGGAAAATGGAGTTTCACAGGTAAATTCTCAGTTATCAGTGTGGAAAACGTTTCCTCTTATTCCGATTTGGATCCATTCTCATCACAGTCGCTCTTTGGGTGCATGCTAGAGTGGACCGTGCTTATCAAACCCTGGGGCATGATTATATTTGGTCATTTTGTTTCAGACAGTCTGTATGCTACCATGATGTAGCGGAATTCAAAGACAGTACTGAAAATCACTCGGGTGTCTGTCGGTTGATCATTAGAGTTCCGTGTCACCCGGATATTAGGTTATTGCACAAGTTTTAGCTGCAATTCTGGCATTAAAAACATCATTTTGAGAGCGTGGTTTTCAGTCGGTTGGCCAATATTCTTCATGGTTCTTCTGTGCTCTCACAAGGACGGACTGTAATATCAGAAGTTGTGTAATACGTCACCCTGACTAAAAATCTTTAGATTAAAGGTAAGAGTTGATTTAAATATCCACAGTTGTCAAATTACAGTAAAATTACAGTTAAATAATATATCACATCGACATCTTAAGTTTGACCATAAAACCATCTAGCTGGTCCCATAACGTATTTTGTTGATCAATTTAACTTCATGCAAAACAGCTTTTGGACGGTTGTGTCTCAAAGCCAAAATCATTAGATTTGACATTCGAGCGATGACATGTTTATAAATTTATGGGCTAACACAAAAGTACTGAAAACTGAGTGAAAATATCAAAGTGGCTGTAATTCTGTTAGACGGAATGGTCCTGTATGAGATGCTATTGGTCAGCGTTGGGTCGGTCTCCGAGTATTCCGACAAATTCCGCACATCACCCAGTTACTTGCATGTTTACTAGCTGGATAAAATAACCCATGGTTGTCTTGCGAGCGCCAGTGAAGTAGGGACTGCAAGCTAATCTGACCTATCAAATTATGGGCGTTCGATTATAATACGCACCTCTTAGAAACTCGAATATACACCTGCTTAGGTGAACAGGAAAATGTGATCGATTTGTAAAGTGGAGATGGTTCATTTGAGAGTATGATGGAAAAAACTCAGCTATTCCTGGGGCTACTCAAAGGTACCTCAGTGTGGCGGAAAAATCACACCAATTGAAGGTAACTGATAATTCCAAGGTATTGACAAAGATCAATCACCTAAAGACAGTTGTTGTGTATACTTCATCTATCAATTTTACCGAAGTAGGTGTCAGTCCTGTGGATTCTTCTAAGTAGGCAGGAGTTCACTGATCTTCTGGTGCGAAGGACGGAGCTAAGAAAACCTAATTGAAACACAACAGGCTAATCTGATTAGTGGGCCAATAAACCCGTACACAATTTTTGCAAAATTTACATTTTTACGACCCCTTGGACCTATTTTTCCAGTATGTCTTTGCTTGATATTATGATGGTAAATTTCAACAACATTCGGTGCTTTCAAATACGCAGTATCCTGGAGACAAAAATAAAACAGTATCGATTGCAGGTGGTTGCAAAATTTGGAGAATTTACGCTCAGGTCACCGTCGCATGAACGCTCGTCTTCTTGTCCTTCTGGTTATCTCACAACAAAGGTGGAAAGCACCGGATTCTAGTCTTGCTGTTATCGGAGGTCACTAGCTGTGGACATCCGCGGTCGTACCGAACATTTGACATAAGAGAAGGGTGTGTTGCCACTACACTGCAAACTCACATTGGACATACCTGAATCGTCACATCCGAGTGGCCAAACATGTTCACGCTTAAGCGATGTGACTGATCTGTCCGATGACTTGAGCGACGGCCCAGTATCTATCCTGCTTGTTTCAACCGATTGCAAGATTTTGCAATCTGGTGGNTGTACGTTTTTAGACAGGATCCTGTTTTTTGAGTGTTTCAGACGTTTTGAGGTGTCTGCATCGTCTGTGGGCTCCGACTTCTTATGGAAGTAGATGAGTACCCAACCCGGTTTGAAGCCAGCATCAAATGAGACACTTCATTATCTTGCTTTGTTAGTAGTCCATCGAAGATTTCAGATTGTACGGGCCACTAGAATCCTTTGCACGTGTTATCACCAGCTCAAAAGAGATCGGTCAGGAAGTCTGATCCAAATAATTCTATTGATAGATATCTAAATAAGTTCCAAAGGACTAAATTTTCATGGCTTTTCCAGGGAGTTTTATCCTAATATTGGACTAAAATGCATTTTAAGTTTCTGCGCTTTTGTGCGGTACATTCAGCTAAAGAACATCATGAACGAGAGATTCAGCTGCGTTTAATTTGAGTTCCCCTTTCACAACAAGCTTATTTGTTGGCCAGTTTACTCGTTGATTGCCTACAAGTTTGACGCCCACATAGAACACAAGAACAAGAACAGATTGATGAAAGTTCCAGGATTGCATCTATTCGACCAGCCCCTGTAATGGGCTGTCGGGGCTTACTTGTTAACAAATTTTCCTGTTTTAAAACGGCGCCGCAACACTTTCATCTCTTGTGATTCAGTATGAGTTCCAAACAAAACATACCAGATCATCTAGGCTTGTTTTCACATTATCTTTGATCGTTAGGGAGACCTCCCTGACACACGGGTATTAAGTAATACCACGGTATTCCACTATCTCAGAGTAATGTCCTTATGCGGTTAATCCATTTCAGGCAATGAATAATCCTTGCTGAATAGACTGACCTAAACAGAATACCAGTGTCTAATGGAACGAAATTAGCTGAACTCACGTCAATCCTGTTCAGAACATAAATGCAGAGCCGTCACTCGCACACACGGAAAGTCGCCATAAGTACGCTTTCCAGTAAACAAATGCAAGCCAGCCAAACTTTCTCCACAATTTGCCACAGAGCGAAATAGAATGCATAATCTTATAAACAGCAGTTGCACCTGGAATTTTGCACTGCAAAACACCTCATTAGATTTTAATGACTTCAGAAAGAAGATGTAGCTCTCAGACTAATAAAATGCACAGAGCTACAAGATCAGCTGTTTACACAAGGTTTGTATAAGCTATTCCGTTTGAATATAAAAAAACATGACTTTGATAATTATTTTAGCAACGGATATTCCCCCATTTTTAGTTCTTTTCTATGGCTTGGTTGACTGTCAGACAAATATCGTCCTGAAAAAAGTTCACATGATTTCTCGGTCTGCTGAGACAAGGATATCTTGGTTCGGCTTATTGACTTCCGGCTTGTTCGCTGAGTCGAGTAGTTTGATCCACAAATGTTTCTTTGAGTTTTGAGTACAGACCATATCAGTGCTCGTCAAATTACCACAAAACCGCAAAAAAGTGGACCGTCTGCGTCATACAGTTCCATTTTTAGGAAACTTACTACTAACTGCATGCTGACTACCATTCCATTCAGGCTGAAGTCAGTTTCTTTAAAGATTTCTTTTTAGTTAGAACATCCATACTAACTGTATTTTTAGTAAATGTAGGCACATAATAAACTCACTTGTTATAAAATTTCAAAGTTGGATTTCTGTTTAGTGGAATGTTCCAAGGTAACTTCAAAGTCTCTGTGCCTATCAGTACTACTATTTTAGTGCAAACTTTGACTGACAATAGAAACTGTATTTGGGGAAAAAATTTATGAAAAACTCAGTTCTTCAGAGGAGGCTTAAACAGCGATCTGATAAGCTCACGCTTCTCTATTATTCACTGAAAATCTATGTTGTCTCTTATTTTTAGCAGACAAGCTTCATTTTATTCACGTTCTAACACGCGAACGGGAAGCATAGCCATCTGTCAGAAGGCATAAAATTCTTATCAATGGTTTACTGCAAAAAATGGCTCATCAACATTTAATCTTGAAATTCAGTGTCTCTCATACACATTTTAAAGCATCCACCATGATGGAAATTTCCAGATTATAACACAAAAAACTGAATGCATCAATGAAAATTCCGTGCCAGGTGTCAGACGTTTTTGGCAGAAGGAGTAGCTTTGATGTTCTATATTGATAAGTAATTACTTGCGTTGTGACCATTGGATGAGAAGACCATAGAAACTACAACCGAATGTAGGAAAGTGAGCAGAGACTTCATAAAATTGGGGTAAAAATCATAATTGTACATAGCACGAGCAAACCAGCGCCCAAGAGGTATCCTAGGTAGCTTAAATAGCGCGGCCTTATCTCAGTATGCGATAGTTTGTTGGACCACCTCAAGTGTGCTTTTGGTCATTCTATGTGGATCTGGAATTTCGTTCAACAAAAAGCTCAAAAAGTCTTGGATGTCTATGATTGATCGCAACACCTTTTTGCACATCGTGTAGACAACATCATTCATTAAAATTCCAGTTGCCCGGGATTGGCATCAAAACCGAAAAAGCCTCTCTTTTTACTTGTGTTATAAACTTCAGTCACTGAAAGATATTTATGACTAATTTGCGGACGACTGAATAGGAGAACCTCGAAATATGAAGCTCATGTCCGTACGGCGTGTTTAGAAAGATGCTTCTAGTTTTGAACACAGTCGCTCACCTCCCCAGTACAGGATAAATGAGACGAAGGGTTCATGAGCTTCGTCACACAGATCTCCCAATCTGCATAGGTAATTCATTATTATTCTGCAGTACGGAGTAGGAGTTTCTCTCTTTTGTTGCGAATAGTGAATCTCTGTATTTCCAAAGATTTATATTTCCTGGATTCCTTAGCCTTTTTTCCATATATTGATGAAAGGTGGATCGCTCCGCTTGCACTGGTCTCGCTCACTTTGTTTTTTTTTAATTAACGAATGCCCGTCTTCTAACACTTTACTATAAAAGCTCTGTGAATACCTCTAAGATAACCACACCCACTGCACAGCGGAAGCCGATCATACAAGAGCGCTTTGGATGATGTTGAAAGACACTAACTGGTAATCCATTTGGCACCTTGAATAAGAGTGACGGAAAGTGAGAGTAATTTTTTGAATGCTTGTCCCGTTGGAAGGTGTTTGGTGGCTAGGCTCCATCTTCATGCACATTTTTCAGCTCAAACTGTGTAGTTGAACATTCTTCCCCAAAGTGCACATTTTGTGTCGGCGTTCAAATAAAGGAAAGTTATTTAACAGCA